GGCAGAGGATTGGTGGCGTGACCAGCTTATATTCTCTTAATCACAAAGAAAACTCTCATTTGCGGATTCTATATATGCTACCGCATGTTCTTTCAAGTTTCACATGATGGGTAACATTTTCAAAAATGTTTGGGTGACATAGGAGCCATAATCTTTCAATGAGACTTCGGCTTTTTTGAAAATGTTATCCTAAACCGTTCTCTGTTTTTTCATTGTCACTTGTGAGTGACAATGTAAGGGGATTTACATAATTCATTTTCATTACAATAATAGGAGTCTTCCATATAAATCTCCTGTGCACTTACAGGAAAATAAGTACTTGTGGCTTGAACTATTTAATAAAATCAAACATTTATATTCATTAAGCTGGGTCAGTATTTAACGTGGCACCTGTTCAAGTGTGTGCTGTTTTTGTTCTACTTGTTCCTCTTGGACCAGGTTTGAAAAAAGATTTTGAAAATGGACGCATGATAAAATTCTACATTTATAAAAAGTAACATTTGATATGGAGTGAAATTCTTAATTCTTTATGATGCTCAGACAGAACTGTATCATATAGTAAGAAACAAAACTCAAAGGCGTGCCTTTTTAAGTTGATCTACAGACAAGTTAAGAGCATGAAAACTAAAGGGATTTTCTCAAATTAAAATAAAAAATATTTCAGTGAATTTATTGCCTTATTAACAGCAGCCTTGGACACCAACAGTTATTTATCCTCCTGATGAGTAGAAGCAGAGAAAGCTTCTCAAGTGCCCTGATGATGTCTTTCAGCTGGGAAGATGGGAAGCTAGTTTCCAAAGCCACTAAATGCTTGGCCTCTCTGCCAAACAGCAGTCCTCACCAATCAATGTTACATTTAAACCAGTAAGTTAAAAGGGAAAGGCTTCAAATTTAATTACTGGGATAATATCTTAACAATACCTTGTGCCATCAACTCCCCCACCCCAAGTTCTCTTACCCTGCTCCTCTAAAACACCCTTAGACACACAATTCTTATAATCTAAGCCCTCATGGAAATCAATTTCAGCTGGATCATAACAGTATTTTCAGGATAAATACTTCTATCTGCCTTAACAATCCTTTATATCACTATGCAGCAAAGATTTGATTAAACTTTTCTTTGTGATTAAGTGACAGGTTCCTTGCAGAATCAGGCCCAAATTGTGTTGCATAGCAAAGTGCTGACTGTCTCAACTCCTGTCAACTTCAAAAGGGAGTTGAGGATACTAAGTATCCTACCAGATCAGGCCATTTGTTTGGCAAAATTGGATCTAGAAAGTAAGGTACATCGCCCAAGGGACACAGTATACACGCCAAATTATTTCTGTTTTCTATTAAAAAATACATTTCATATAATATAAATGATCACAGAACACTCAGTAACTGATATGAAAAACTCAGTGTGGTAAAGATTCTTTAGGCTACCGTAGCACGTTTTCCAGTTCACAAGTAAAAAGAGACATGAATGCTGATTTTTTTTTTTAAACTGAGCCTGTTTTGAAAGGTCTTTTATATTTTCACAGCCTTATCGGAAATTGTTGTTAGTCTAAATACAGCAGCATTTTTAGTATTTGTGGTGCTATTAGTAAAAGATAAATGAAAAAATTCCACTTAAGGGCGATTCCTTCATCTCAGGGCTGTATTGTTTAAATTTTGATTTACCATTCTTATTTTAAAAAGACAAGGATGTAGGAAATCCTTGTCTTTTACAATAAGAAAATTAAGTTTGGATTTACTTGTACCTAGATAAAAACTAGCAAGAGTATTTATATTTCACAAATAAAAAGATTTCTAAAGTATTATTCTTTAGTTAGTAAAGCATGGGTTTTTACTCACTGGGGATGAAATCCTCATTGTATTAATGTCAAAAGAAGTTTTGCCCTTGACTTCAATGGAATCGGGATTCTCCTTCTAGATTTTGATTTCTGGGGGCCCAAGGTCTACTCTGTTCTGGATGCACAAGCATGGCTCCCACTGAAGTCAAAGAGCTCTGCAGGCGTGTGATGGCAATATCTGGTGCAATCATAAGAGGCAGTCCAAATTTAGTACATAAGGCCCAAGATTCTGTAATCAGATCCATGCAGTTGGTCACACAGGTGTGCATGAAGGAGTGCCACTGATGCCAATGGTATCCACTGCACTGATCCAAGTGCAGGACCAGGGTAGCATCATAACCCCACTTTATTTGGAAGTGATGTATCTGTACGTGCTTATTCTTAAATTCTGCTTGGGAGCCACTTTTTCTAAACCTTGTTTTATTTGTGGTAGTACTAGATAACTGCAAAACTTTGTAAAAATAAATGGAAGTCTACTAGTGTCCACACAAAAAACCTGCTGGGGTGTCCCAGGAAGCTGAGCACTCCAAACCAGCACTGCAATGCCTTGCTTACCTCCTAGAGGGACAGCAAAGGCAGCTGCAGAAGCAGAGCAACAGGTGTTCAGGAGTGTCCCTTTAACCACGCCGCGTCTCTGCAAAGGGCAGGCAGGCAGCAGCGCCCTGGCAGAAGCGGTTCCGGGTGGCTTTTAATTTCGAAAGAGCGTCCAGCTGTCAGGACGCTCTTTTTCGAAAAAGCGGATCGATTTTCCGATCCGCGTATTGTAGTCTAGACGCGCTCTTTCGAAAGAGCCTCTTTTGAAAGAGGCTTGCAGTCTAGACATAGCCTAACTGTGAAAAGGACTAGCTTTCTTTGCTACACAGGTCTGCATGCAGCATTTGTACTGATTTAACTATTTCATTTGGAGCTGAGATTTTCCCATGGAAATAGTTCTATCAGCTCAACTTGTGTGGTGGATGCATTTCTATTATAAACGTGTTTTATTGCCCTTTCCACCCCAGAATAAGTTATACCTCCATAACTGCATCCACCCTAAGGGGTTGTACCACTTTAACTACACCTGTGTCATTAAAGCGATTGCTGTTACTACCCTTGTGCAGCAGCAGCTCACAGCACAGAATATGGTTGTAGTCCAGGTATTCCTCAAATACATATTGCTCAGGGCATTCAAAATGAAAAGCTGGTAGGGCTATTCATTTTTGTATCCCCGGCTGTTGCTTCCCATATTGCCTTTCACTGCAGACAACAAACAATTCATCCTCAATGTGTTGACATGAACAGCTGTGCTCATTGTTATTAAGTCACAGAACCTCATGAGAATCTTATCAGATATTAATACATTGAAAAACTTCCGATATAGTTACTCATTCATCATAATACAAACATATAAGCATGAGCTGAAACTCTTTCTTTAGACCTAGAGCCTTAGCAAATTCAGTCCATTGTGGTCAAATTTCATATTACTGAAATACTAAATTTCATGAGTTCGGTTATTTAAATCTGAAGTTTTACAGTGTTGTAATTGCAGGGGTCCTGACCCCAAAAGGAGATGGGGGTGTCTCAAGTTTATTGTAGGGGAGTTGTGATACTGGTACCTTTACCTCTGTGCTGCTGCTGGTGGTGGCTCTGCCTTCAGAGGTAGGCAGCTGGAGAGAGGCGGCTGTTGGCCAGCAGCTCTGTAGAAATGATGGCATGGTATGGTATTGCCACCCTATCTGTGAGGCTGTCTGAGCTTGAGCCCTCACTGCAACTCCTTCTTGGGTCAGGATCCCTCAGTTTGAAAAACCCTGGTCTCCCCCATGAAATCTGTAAGCACACAAAAGACCAGTCCATGACTGGCATGTTGTTTATGGCTGTGAATTTGAGAGGGCCCTATTCATATTACATGACCATACATAGTCTGGAACAAAAGGCAGCCAACAAAACACATGCAAACTGTGACTTGGGGATCTTTGAGGAGATTCTGCAATCTGCCCTACTCCATGAGCATCATTGTCTCATCCTGAGACCTTTTGCTCTCGAATCACTGTTGCCCTGCACCTTCTATAATCATTGGAGGCAATTCAAAGTGAATGCAGAAGGAGTCTCAAACTCTCAGAAATCAGACTGCTCGCATATTGCACTGACTCCACCCACATGTTAATGACCATGCGGATTGTACTGCAATAACGAACTGATGTCTTCATAGGTGCCACCAAAGGACTAAGTGTCATTGCCCCTAGCAAAGTGGTCAGCCAGTGGTGAATTGTAATCCCACAAGACTAATAGAAGCAAACAAACAAAGGAGATAATAGGCACAAGCTGGGGGGCTGCTTCGGCAGGACCGAGATCAACTCAGACCTGCCGCAGGTTCCCTGAAAACCTACCTGATCCCCCCACCCTTTCAGCCATTCCATTCAGTTCCACTAAAAAGGCAAGTCATAAATGGGCTTCTTTGGGGAACACCTTGCATCCAGTTTATCCAATCAGATTGTCACATCAAGCAAACTCTTTGACAGCTAGTATCATACACCATTTCCTAGCCACTGCACAGTTCACTTCCAGGTCCCCAGTCATTATGGACTGTTGAGTAGACAAAACCGAAGTATTTGAACCTTCCTCTTTCCACAAAAGGTCTCAATGTTTCCATACCACAGTCCCAAAATATCAAGTGTGCTGTCTTTGAGCTATGTCCTGGAAAAAAAGGAGAATTACTCCTCTGGCTCAAGCTTGGCTTATCTGGCCCTGTACACTGCCAACACAAGGCTGTGCCTTAAAGGTGCTTAGCACCTTACAGGATCAATAGTCCTACAGTATCTCAGGCACATCATGACATCTAAGGCCTCGTGCAAACTTCAGAGGGCTCTCAACTTCTCTTGCAGTTCACAAGATTGGAAAACACTCAACAACTTACCACATTAGGTCATTAATAATGTTGCAGCCAAGTTTTCATATGCAATTACTAATTTTATGTCACCATGGTTTTTGTGCCCAACTTGTAATACCTAAGGCCTAATTTCTATTTTGGTTGCCACTGGTAGCTGTGAGTCTTTGCTAGCTCTGAATATAAGGCTTTAGGAGTCTCAAGTTGCATCTCCTTCCCCTTTCCCCTCCCCACCCACCCCTCCAAAAAATGGAGGCATGTAAAATCACTGAAAGTTTCTGAAAATGTTGACGTTGAAGGTTTATAAAGTGCTGAAAGATCTGGGGCTGAAAAGCCTCATGGAGTTTTTTATGTTGTATACTGAAAAGCCATCTACTTTCAAACCTGATTTCATGATTGGTAGCAGGACACTTTACTTCCTGACACATACTTGTGCGATTGTCACCCTTTCACTGTGACTCACCATTGGGTACCCAGACGGAATTTACAGCGAAGGTTTTCAACACTTTTTTCCATCTTGCACATTTCCTGAGAGAGCTGGTAGAAAATGTGTTTCCTGAAAATGCAGTAAGTGAAAAAAAAACCAAACAGAAAAACTGCAAAATGAGCACAACTATCTTGCAACTTCCTGTTTAGAGATTTAGCATCAATATAGGTATCTTAGATAAATATATTTTTAATTTATATCTTGTAATTAGAAGAAAGCTGGAGATTTTAAATGTATGCTTGGCTCATGTTAAGACAGTGTTTCTCAAACTGTGCTCCGCGGAGCCCCAGGGCTCTGCGAAACATCTCCAGGGGCTCCGCGAGGTTGACAAACTGAAAGCCTTCAAAAGCATAATTGAGAATCACCTTGAACTGATGCAATGAACACACACCGCTGGGGCGCCACATAAATTTTTATGCATGTAAAGGGCTCCAGAGCCCTAAAAGTTTGAGAACCGCTGTGTTAAGATATTTGTATTCCAACCAGGACTGGACCTCATTGTGCCAGGGGCTGTGCATACACAAGCCCAGAGAATTCACAGCCTAGGTAGAAGTGGACAAGTGGTGGAGGAAAGAAATATTATTATTCCCAGGATGCAAGAGAAACCAAAGCCAAGAGTGATTAAGGATGAATTCTAAGGAACAATTGCATTGAAATTAATGAGAGATTGTTGGCTTAGTTCAGATTTGACGATCCCAGCAAAGCAGCTTGCACTGGGTTGTGCACAAAGTCTGGGGCAGAACTGGGATTTGAACCCCCCTCTGCTGAGTCACAGGTTAGTACTTTAACCCCAAAGACCAGCCTTCCAGTCACTTCAGACCATGGTTTTACATATTAGAATCTGGACATTTCCTTTGCTGAATGATCAGTTCCCACCGCTGTGTCTGTAGATTTCCCCAGTAGAAGTCTAATAGGCTATGTCTACACTGGCAACCGAATGACAAAACTTTTGTCTTTCAGCAGTGTTAAAAAACATGCCACCCCGCAAGACAAAAGTTTTGCGGATGACAAGTGCCAGTGTGAACAGCATTTTATCAGCAGGAGTGCTCTCCAGCCAACAAAGTTGATGCCACTTTTTTGGGGTAGAAGTTTTTTGTTGGCTAAAGTGCTGACAGAAGCTATACTGTATGGCTGTGTCTAGACTGGCAAGTTTTTCCGCAAAATCATCTGATTTTGCGGAAAAACTTGCCAGCTGTCTACACTGGCCGCTTGAATTTCCACAAGAACACTGACGAGCTCATGTAAGATCATCAGTGTTCTTGCGGAAATACTATGCTGCTCCCGTTCGGGCAAAAGTCTTTTTCCGAAAGACTTTTGTACAAAAGGGCCAGTGTAGACAGCACAGTAGTGTTTTCCACAAAAAAGCCCCGATCACGAAAATGGCAATCGGGGCTTTTTTGCGGAAAACCGCGTCTAGATTGGCCACGGACGCTTTTACGCAAAAAGTGCTTTTGCGGAAAAGTATCCTGCCAATCTAGACGTGCTTTTCTGAAAATGCTTTTAACGGAAAACTTTAGCAATACTTCTGGCCACATAGTATAGACAAAGCCTAAGGCAGGACGGCTCTCTGGGCAGAGCCCAATTTTGTTTCTGGCTCGGACAGCAAGCACCTTTGACAGAATATTAATCACTCTAGATCACACAGAGAATCACCAGCTGTGTCTGGTCCCACAAGAAGTTCAGCATGGAGGGAAAAAGACAAAAATTAGCATTTGGGAGCAAATCTTACCTCAGGAGCACATTTGGAGGTACTTGTCGAGGGAGATGTGAGGGAGACGTGCTTATTCTGGAGCCCAGCTTGGGGAGGGTCTCAAGAATGTTGCCAGACAGATACTAGGCAGGATGAGATGAGTGAGGTGCACTAACAGGCCTCAGCATGTCTTAATCCAGCCCTGGTTGATGGAAATAAAATGAAAATGATTACAGAAAGAGTATGCACTGGTTATATTTTCTTCTCAGCTATGCCTACACCACAAGGTTTTTGTGCAAAAACAGCCATTTTTGTGCAAAAACCGGTGGAGCATCTTCACCTCAAGCGTGTTTTTGCACAAGAAAATGACAGAACAGGGGTGTTTTGCCGGCAGAGTTATTCCTCTCCCCAAGAGGAATAGATCCTTTTTGCGCTACAGCTCATGTGCAAAAAGGCAGGTGTGGACGCTCCGGAGGTTTTTTTGTGCAAGAAACCCCTATGGGCAAAAACACAGGTGCTCTAATGGCCATTCTGTGAATGGCAATCAGTGGTTTTGTGACAAAAAATGAAACTGTGGTCATGACAGCAGATACTTTGAAGCATTTCTCTGCCCTCAAACTTTAGAAGCATTTAGTATACCTATCTAGCAATGGTATTTCTAAGAGAACCTCTCACTTTGGTATCATAAAAAGCTTAAACAATAATGGTAGCCAGTTTGGAAATACTGGAGAGCACTTTTATGAGTTTGAAACCGGCATAGAGAAAGATAACTTGGGAATTTTTTGTCAGTAAAAGGAAAGATTACCAAATACTGTCATCAAAGATGGGTCTTTGTTATAGTATAGGATCTAGCCTAGAACGAGTTCTAACCGCACCTATTCCCTTCTGCCAACCACAAAACCACATCCTGCACACACACAGACATATAAAGTTTAAGCTCCTCAGCTTTTATATATTTATTATGCACCCATAGCTACAATTAAATCAAACAATGAAAAATATCCATTGTATTTTGTACATTTTAAATCTTGCAGGGTAATTTGAAGAAATAGCAATCATAATACAATCTTTGTAACTTTTAAATTGATAATAATCTACTATATATTTGAGAGACTTTGTCTGTCTGTGAGTCTGTCTGTTCAAGAACTCCTCCTAAATAGTACGAACTAGGACAGAGGGGGCAATAATTTTTTGAGGGGGGTCATTTAATGAATTTTGGTATGTGGTCATCGGCCGGCTCCATCTCTGGAAGGGGTGGGGACTGGGGCAGAAGGGGCAGAAGGGGCAGTGCTGGGGATTTGCCTCCCCCCCAGAGTTGTCTGGGACTAGAGGCTTTAAATTAAAAACACAGCAAAGGGCTCACGGCTCCACTGCTACCATGTTGCCTGGCAGCTGCCTGTAGTTGCTGAAGCTATTCAAAGGGCTTGCGGCCCTGGCCACTGCTGTGGTAGTGCCCCGACTGGGAGCCAGGCGCCATTTACATAGGCTCTTGCTGCCTGAGCCACCGCCTGGAAAATTGGTAGCACAGCAGCAGGATATAAATAGAAAGTAGCCAGATACAGTCCGCAGGCCAAATCAAAGTGTTAGGCGGGCTGGGTCTGGCCCCCCAGGCTGCATCTTGTCCAGCCCTGAGCTAGGACCACCAGATTTAGTATGCAGTTTTCTCTCATCATAACGTAAAGCTAGGTCAGAGTTTGGTTGTGCCAGAAAAATAGGATGTGCTTGGAATGGGATTCCTTCTCATAAAACCAAACAGAAAAAAAGCAGCCTACAGCCCCAGCTTAAACCCCTATAGTGCATCATTGACAATCTTCAGCCTATCCTGGAAGTCAGTCCCTCACCCTCATAGGTCTTGGGAGTCAGGATGATCCTCGCCTACAGACAACCCCCCAACACAAAACACTTTCCAGCAGCCACCCACCACATCTCAGATAACACTCATCCACAAACCTACTCTGGCAACAGACCCTGTTGCCAGCTCTGTCCACATATCTGTACAAATGACACCATCACAGGACCTAATCACATAAGCCGCAACATCAGGGGCTTTTATACCTGTATATCCACTAATGTGATATATGTCATCAAAGGCCAGTAACGCTCCTTTGCCACGTGTATTCGCCAAACGAAACAGTCTCTGCAACAAAGGATAAATGGACACAAATCAGACATCAGAAATGGTAACACACATAACCTGTAGGGGAACATTTTAACCTCCCTGGTCACTCAATCATGAATTTAAAAGCAGCCACACCCAATTACATAGAGAGACTGCAGAACGGGAATTCATCTACAAATTTGACACTGTTACCCTAGACTAGAATAAAGACATTACCTGGTTAATTCACAACAAAGCCAATTTCCCCTGCCTTTGACATCCACATTTTCACATCAAAACTATGAATCTTGGAGTCATTATGGATATAGCTCTGAAAACATCCTCTCGATGTGCAGCAGCTGTCAAAAAAGCAAACAGAATGTTAGGAATCATTAAAAAGGGATAGAGAATAAGACAGAGACTATCTTATTGCCTCTGTATAAATCCATGGCATGCCACATTTTGAATACTGCCTACAGATATAGTTGGAAAAAAATTAGAAAAGGACAACAAAAATGATTAAGGGTTTGGGACAGCTAGCATATGAAGAGAGCTTAAAATGACTAGTACTTTTCATCTTAGAAAAGAGCAGATGAAGGGGAGATATGATAGAGGTCTATAAAATCATGACTGATGTGGAAAAAGTAAATATGGAAAAGTTAGTTGCTTGTTCCCTTAACATAAGAACTAGGGATCACCAAAAGAAATTAATAGGCAGCAGGTTTAAAACAAATAAAAGGAAATATTTCTCCATGCCACGCACAGTCAACCTATGGAACTCCTTCTCAGAGGATGTTGTGAAGACAAGGACTTTAAAAAGAACTACATAAATTCATGGAGAATAGGTCCATTGATGCGTATTAGCTGGGATGGGTAGAATGGTGTCTCTAGCCTCTGTTTGTCAGAGGCTGGGAATGGGTAACAGCGGAGGGATCACTTGATGATTACTTGTTCTATTTGTTCCCACTGGGACACCTGGCATTGGCCACTGTTCAAAGACAGGATACTGGGCTAGATGTACTTGTGGTCTGACCCTGTATGGCCATTTTTATGTTCTTCTGAATGGGACACATCCAGCCCGCTTAATTAGCTTCATTAACATGGATCCAACAATTGACAGGTACTTCTTTTGCTGTTATATTTATCTTGCATTTAGTTATTTCCACTCCATCTGATGAAGCAGGTCTTACCTATGAAAGCTCATGATACTATGTATATTTTTGTTAGTATCTGAGGTGCCACAGGACTACTCATTGTTTTTAAAGATACAGACTTACACAGCTACCCCTCTGAGACTTTTTAAAATTAAAGTGTACATGCTTCATTTAACTCATTGCTCTGGGGTGGAGATGGGGCTGAGGGGTTCAGTGTGAAGGCTGTTCCAGGGAGAGAGAACTGCCCCAGTTCTCTTTCACCACAGCAGCATGGTGTCAGTTGAGAAGCGCCTCTCGATGGCTGCTGCACTCCAGCTCATCTGATGAAGTGGGTTTACCCACAAAAGCTCATGATACTATATACATATTTTGTTAGTCGCTAAGTCGTCACAGGAGTACTCATTACTTTCATTTTAGGTTTCCAAAAAACAATTCATTGAGTTAAGGACCCGAGCAATGCCGGGTAAATCTACTACATAATAATTTACATTCCAATAGCGCAGTCTATCCAATGGTGCCAAATGAGCTGTGTGACAGAGTACTAGGAATTAGCAACAGAACCAGCACTCTGGTCACTGATTAATCAATTGGTCCCCTAGTGGGGTGAGAGGATGATTAAGAAATGCAGTTCCTGATCACCTGCTCAGATTGCAATTGGGAAGCTAATGAACTAATAATTAGCCCATTAATAAGGAAGCTGTATAAAAGAACACGGGAAAGCAGTAGAGAAAGGAGGTACTGTGGCAAAGACAAAAGGGACTTATCTGAGACCAGACACCTTTCTCATAGTTTAGACTATAGGGGTGTGAATAGCAATGTGCACCAAAATACTGTGTTGTAGCTCCCCTGTGTGGAGGCTGTGAGCACCCCCACAGTCCTAAATGTGGGGCAATGTAGCCAAGCCCTCAGGTATATAAATAGGAGTCTTCCTGCCTGCAAATGCAGGAGCTAGGCTATTGAGTTTCAGTCTCTGTGAAGAAAGCTAGAGAAGTATCTGTAAGTGTGACCCTAACAGGAAGCAGAGTGATGAAACTTTGTGGGAACAGGACTCCCTGAAGAGGCAGATTTAGGGATTTCTGAGCAAGGAAACTGCCTCTTGTTGTCTAGTTCTGTTTTACTCGGGGAACAAGTACATTCTTTTGTAATTAGGCACGATTACACTGAATATATATGTGACTCATATAATTGATGTCTCACCCTAACAGAAACACAGCAGCACAGCCCTGAGTATTGGCTAATTGCTTAGATTAAAAGGGCAACAGTATTGTTCTTACTGTCAGTGAAGGGTTAAACGGGTGGAACTTGATCTGATTTTCTTTTCCCCCTAAATTGGGGATGTTTTGGATCCTGGGTTTTGAGGTCGGTACATTTCTAAAAGCAAACCAACCACCCCACCCACCCAAGAACAGGCTCCTGGACAGTTTTAAAGTCAACTGAAAATGTGCTGGGAATTGAAACAGCCAGAGATCTGGAGAGCTAAGGTGTAGTTTCTCACCGCTGAAGATTTCATGCCCAGGCAGCTTGCACTGCTGGAACACAGTTTGGAGGTAATGACACTGTGTATTGTTTTGGGTCATTTGATCTAATACTACATACTTCAAGGTAAGAACTTTGCCATCAACTACAGGCTCTACCCCTGGTTTACCAAAAACTAAGAAAATCTTGTTTTATTACATTAACTTTGGGAAATATTTTTTAGTAAAACATTGTTGCATGATAACAGAACAATGTTTTAGTTGGATACGAACCCTGGTTAAAATAAAGTTCCCTGGGTTTTCTTTTTTTTCTTTTTCTTCCAAACTGTTCAGATGGGAAAGAAATCAAACATCACTTGGTTTGGTAACAATTACCCCAGCTGTGTTTAAACATTGTTAATATTTTGTGGACAGAGCATTCGGACAAAGTTTGGCAGTATTCACAGA